TTTTTTCCTCTGACTCTCTTCCCATCCCCTTTTCCTTCTCCCTCTCCTCCTTTCTCCCTTTCCCTTTTTCTTAAAATGTTTTGCTCTTAGTAGGTGCTAGGTGGCTTGTTTGATTTTTTTTAGGGAGACTTGCAGGAAGTTTCAACTCTATTTAAAAAAAAACCAAAATCCATGGATTCTTTATGCCAATAATTTAATGTCCCAGCTACTTACCGTTGAGAGTGTAGCTTATAAAATTAATCGCCTCTACTAGTCAGTATTTTCTAGGAATCAGAAAGGAGCTCTTTGTTAAGAAACATTTACACTTCTCCTCCCCTGCCCTCGCCTCACACAAAATGGCCAGGGAAGGGGGATAAAGCATAAAAGGAAGACTCCGTCCAGCCAAGTTAGGAGGCAAGTTGGGTTATAACAACAGAGGTGTCTTGCAAAAGAAGTGGTTTCCAATTCCAATCCCTGGGCTGAACATGGGGAGACCAAGGACCCTCTCCCTCCCATCCTGTTCTTAGCACCTCCACTTAGCTACATGCTGGTTATAAAGTGACCTGCCACTCCTGTCCCTTCAACATTAGCTAAACACGTCATCTAGTAAGTCTTTACTATTTACTTAATGCATCTTTATGACGTATGTCTTAATGAACACATTTTATACTATTATTATAATCCGTCTGAGGGGGTAGCAGGTAGTCAGGCCTGGCACTTACTGGGTCGGCGCTCTACCTCTTGAGCCACTCCACCAGTCCTCTTTATTACAATTGCTATCTATGCTTTACAAGTTCTGTCTCCTAAGTGAATCAAATTCTTCCCCAAAGATGTAAAAATCATTCCATATACATTCCTACTTGGTCCATATTTGTGTCACAGTTTCTAAGTAGTAACTAAAATGCACATTATTTATACCCTATCTTGTGATGAGGGACCTGAAGTAGCTAACTAAAATATGCATGAACAGATGGCAAAGGATTAAATAGATTTTAAAACAGCATGACCAAGTGGAAATAATGAGAACTGAAATAAATTCATTGCAGTTAATATCAGCATAGCACTGCATGGTTTACGAAGACACTCTCATATACTATAAACCATCTCACTTTTGTTATCACACTGTCTCATGTATCCATGTAATAACTCAATGAAGGTGATACTATACCCACTTTACAGGTGAGAAAACTGAGGTTTGGAGGACCAAGCATTTTTTCTCAGTGTTCCATAATTAAAGGGCAAGTTAGAGCTGAATACGACCTCCTAGTGCTAGAACGTAGGCTCCTTAGTACATGCCATGTTGTTCCCCCGAAACAATAGACCTTGCCAGCAAATAACTGGGTGTTGGGCAAATCCCTTCAGCTCTGGGCCCCATTTTTCTCTGCAGCACAATAGGAGTGAATTAGAACTCTTAGAATCCATTCTGTTGATTAGAATCAACACTGCACTGATTCCCATCTGTTACTTTGAACACTGATGGCTAATCTCTATGTTTTCTCTTGTTTTAACGTAAAAATTTATTCCCAATAGAACTAATTTTGTGGGCATGACTGAAAGTTTTTTAAGCAAAGCTTGTGTTTACACTGAGTTACAAGATTAACCCACAGACTCATAAAATGCTAGATTTAGAAAGGATGGGGAGGCTACATGATGGCGTCCCTTCATCCAAACTATTAGAACCATTTTTTTGTTACACACACATTGCAGGTGAGCCTACATGTGCTTTACTGATAATCACACTCGCAGAAAATTCCAAGAGGAATTTCAAACAATGAAGAAATTCGTCATATTCTAAATACTGATGGCCAAAGCTACACATTTCAGGAAAGCATGGGGGTTCTGTGTGAAACCACCTGAAGTAATCATGCATAGCACTATTCTAGAACTTTCTGCTTATTTCTGATTTCCCCACGTGAAGAAAAACAGAAAAAAATTCCAAGATCTCCAAAGGAAAACAGAAGGGCTTGGATAGCAATTCCGCCCCCTGAAGAACTAAAGAAGGCCTGAGGATTTGGATGGAGTGCATCCTACAGTCTCTGGAGGTCCCTCGAACAGAGGTCTTCTGGGAGGCAAGCTCCCAGCCCAGAGTTTGTTGTAGACCCAGAGGTAACAAGATACTTCAGGGCCAGACGTGTGTGGATTCGAACCCTGGCTCTTCTCCTTGGTGGTTACATAATCTTGGATAGGTCAGCCCTCTGAGTGTCAATATCCTTACCTATAAAAAGGCCAAAACCATTTGCCTCTTAGGTTAGTGAGAAGGACTAACTGCTTAATAAATGACAGCTCTCATTGCTGATGTTATAAACTGAGAGCTATAGTAAAACAGAGGGCCAACAAAGCAACTTGTTCTTGTGCCTACCTAGGGAATGAAAGCTTAAGCCTGGGCATCTGGGAAAACAAACTGTCATATGAAATGATGCCCCGTGTCTCTCCTGGGGCTCTAACTGAGATGCCTCTCTTCAGTCTGGTAACCTATAGGAAGGCACTAAGCACCAAAACTGTGTGTCTCCCACAGGACTAAGAAAGTTCAGCCAAGGTTTTACCTCCTACTCTGGCCAGCACTTACTCTAGTCTGAGCAGACTCTCCCAGGAATCTCTCCCAGGATGCAGCAGGAGGCAGCTCTCCTGGACCAGGCAAGGGGCTACTAGATAGCATCTGTCTCCCCAGGCTGTCCCTTACCAAGGGACACCCAAGAGAATCCAAAACCTCAGGCATACCTTCACCAGGCCTTCCAGAAGAGTGAGAATAAATGCCACTGTGTCAGGCATCAGCTGCTGTCTCAAAGGTTCTGCCAGGAGGAAGGGGAACAGATGGCTTAGGAGATTTCAGGCTCTGCTGTAGAGTTGATTTGAGATGGCTGTCTTTCCTTCAGAAAAACATCTAGATTGTTCTTTCTCATCCTTCATCAACTAAGCCAACAGGTTCATGGACTGTGCCATCTACTTTATCCTCAAGATCTGGAAGCAGCTAGAAGATTGGGACTCTCCAATAGCAGATGCTTGTCCCCAAGACTCAGAAACTCATCAGCTGGGGTATTGTTTGTTTAATCTTTAAGATGCTTCTTTCTCCTTCCTGGAGGACAGTGTCCAATAGAATTCAAACTAAATCCTGCCCCAAACCATAAAATCCACTGCATTTTGAAAGACCAACTTAAAAGTCCAAAAATCACTGCATTTCCCTAATGCCTATAACAGCTGTATAATGTCTGTCAATTCTACTACCCATGCACTTTAAGTCCCCTTCAAAGTATGATTCCAAAAGAAGAACATTCAGGAAAGTTAAGGAAGTTTGTAGCTCCAGGGATGAAAGCTGACATTTTAATATGCTCAAGAAGTCAGATTCCTGAACATAGCAAGAGAACCCAAAACAGGGGTCACTTGAATTATTAACAACCTCCCCATACATAAAAACAAAAAAGCAAAATTAAATAGAATTGCCTAGAGGAAAATTTTCATTCATACTTTTTTTTTCAAATACTAAAAAAAAAAAAAAAAACCCTGAACTCTCAGGAGGAGAAAGTAGAATAGCAGTTGCCAGAGGCTGGAGGGTGGAGGAAGTAGGGAGATGCTGGTCAAAGGTTACAAACGTCCAGCTACAAAATGAGTAAGTCCTGGAAATCTAATGTACAGCTCAGTGATCATAATTAATAGATATATACTTGAAGAATGCCAAGAGACCAAATCTTCATTTTCTCACCACACGCACAAAATGGAGGTGATGAGCACGTCAACTGGCTTGATTGTGGTAAGTGTTGCACAATGTTTACACACATCAAATCATCACACTATATAACTTAAATATATATATATAGATAGATAATTTATTTGTCAATTATATCTCAATAAATCTGGGGAAACAGAAAAAGGGAAAAAAAGGAAGTCAAAAGACTTGCACTGACTCCCAAATATACATTGCATTGTTTTGGAATCAAATCCCAGCTGATAAAGCCTGCTGGGATCCACACTGGGGACAGTCCTCATGGTCAGAGCATCTTTTGGAGCCTGGCAGTGGGAGTCTAACCTCTCCTGAATACACATTCCAGGACACACGCATCTGTGGCCATCAAGCCTCTGAGTGCTTTTGGTGCCTTGAATCTGCTAACACACCAGCCTGGTGGAAATAGTTATAGCCGAGGAAGCAGAACAGGTCTAGACAAGCTCTTTCCCTGATAAAGCAAAATGCTCTTGTTTTACTCCAAACATTAAAAGCTCCTGACAGCATACTCTTAATAACAGTATGAAAGACTAACCTCCATTCGTAGCACAAAATGCACCCAAGTTAGCCTGGCTCAGCAGTGACCTAGTTCCTTTTCTTACCTTTCTTCCATGCAAATACGCAGATCATAACACTTTACCTTCCTGAGGTGCAAATTTGTCAGGAAGATTACTGCCACCAGAAGGCTGCACCTAGCTTTTTTTTTTTTTTTTTTTGACAGTACTAGGATTTGAACTCAGGGCCTCATGCTTGCTAGGCATGAGGTAGGTAGATGCTCTACCATTGGAGTCATTCTTCCAGCCCTTTTATGTGTTGGGTAATTTCCAGATTGGGTCTTTCAGAACTATTTGCCTGAGCTGGCTTCAAACCATGATCTTTCTGATCTATGCCTCCTGAGTATCTAGGATTACAAGCGTGAGCCACCAGCGCCTGGCCTGCACCTACCAGTTTCTAAAACTGTTCAATGACAGGCAAGGCCAGAGGAGGTGGGCCCCGTTCAGTAAGCTGTTTGTGCATCTAATTCTACCCACCTAGATATTTATGCAACGGAAGAAAAGTAAACCTTGAAAATGAACCCAAAGATATGTCTATTTCCTTACAATTCCCTGCAGCCAACCTCTGGGGTTAAATGTTATGATGAGCAAGCAAAAACTTCTTTACATGTTTTGCATACTGTGTATGTGCATGTGTGCTGAATCAGGCACACACCTGGTTCATGTGTGTGCACGTGTGAGTATGTGTATTTACCTGTGTGTGAGTGTGTGTATGGTTCACATATTCTGTTAACGTCTGGGTATTGTCATACCTGCCACTGGTTTCCTGCCTGACCAGGCACATAGGGTGCTGGAAGGCTCCGAAGGCTGTTCTTCACAGGGGATCCCCCAAGGGGACTTCCCACATCCCCAGAAGAGGAATCAGCAGACAAGGCCATGGAGTACTGCGGGTAGTTGTACAGATTGTTGTAATATGGGAACAGAGACGGCTGGTAAAAGCTGCTGTAGTAAGTGGAGTCGGACACCAGGTCAGGTGCGTTCTCCACGTGCCCTCTGCTGGTGACAGCAGGAATATCCTGGATGACCATGCGTCCCTCTAAAAGGGAAAAAAAAAAAAAAGACAACACAGTTTTAACATACAGGTCCACAAAACTTGCCCTCTAAACCTTGGCAAGAGAATCATTTTGCTCCTCAATATGTGCACAGCAATACATCTGGACATGCCAGGGGCAAAGCCATCTCCTGCTTCTGCAGCCAAAATGGGAGAGGGTGCTAAGGTCACTCCGGAGGCACAGCTGAAAGACCTTGCTGAGTATTTTTACTCAGAAGACCAAATCATTTTAGCAGTAGTTTTAATTTCAGTCCGACAGTGTAATTTCGACCCAGAAATGTGCATCCTAATGTTAAGAAACTAGAGATCAAATCTAGTTGAACTGTCTATGCATTCTTACCACAAAATTGTAATTCACTTTAAATAAAGTAGATAAATATCCAGGTACCCTAACTCTGTCATCTGCATAGATCCATTGGACAGTCAAAGCCAGAGGCTGAGAACTTAAGCACACATTGTTTCCTTCATTTCCTTCCATAGCTGACACTGTATCCTTCACAAGTCTGGACCATGGTATGGACCAGGGGTAGACAAACTTGTTCAACAAAAAGTCAGTTAGTAACTATTTGAGGTTTTGTGGACTAGTCTATGTTGCAGAGTAGTTATGTTGCAATAAAACTTTTTTCATATAAATGGGAAGAGAACTGATTTGACCCAAAGATTGTAGCTTGCCAACCCCTGGCATAAGCCTTAAGATTGAAAGAATGCCTCAGTCGTCCATCCAATGGACGTTTAGTGAACAATGCTCTAAGGGGTGAGCCAGGTACAGGAAATGGCTGCCATGTGTCCCCTGTCCTGCCCGCAGGGAAGTCTACCATCTAGGATGAAAGATGGCTTGTGATTACAAAACAGACCACTTCCCATTATCACAGGAATGCCTATAAACTGTTATGGACGTTCAGAGGAAGAAATGATGACTTGCAGACTAGGAAGCAATTAGAGACCTTCACAGAAAACTGTAACTGAGCTGTACCTTAAAAGAGAAGCAAAAGGACTGGTGGTGTAGCTCAGTGGTAGAGTACTGACTGGGATGCATGAGGCCCTGAATTTGATTTTCAGCACTGAACAGGTGGAAGAGGAGGAGGAGGAGTGGGAAAAAGAGAAAAAGAGAGGGCAGAGGAGAAAAAGACAGTGAGGACAGAGTGGGATTGTGGGGTGATGGGTGGGGCATCTTCCCATTGGGAAGAACTGAGTGAAAACAGGGACACAGGTCTGTCCTGAAAGGTGGTCTGGAGCCAGGTGAGGGAAGTCTTTGTGGAGCTGTTTTCAGGCTCTCTGGGCTGTGGCAGGAACCACAAAAGCTGAAGATCCCTGAGCAAGGGGGTTACATGGAGAGCTATGTGAGAGGTTTGTCTAAGTGACACTCTTAACATAAGGGCAGGAGGAGGGACTGGAAGCAGGGAGACATGCTGGGGAGCCCCAGGGTGGTTCATGCAGAGACCATAGAAGACTGCAAATATAAGGGGGCCAGTACCAGGGATGGGAGGCTTGTAGCCCAACAAACCAGAAGAATGAAGATGCAGTGGGGAAGCAAAGAGCCTAGATGTGGCGAAAAGAAGGAGGAGGATCTTCTGCTTAACCTAGACACAAGAGAGCCCAGGTGGGGGACCAAGGGAGACGGAGTGAGCCGGAGGAGGGAGCTTCTGAGACTGGAAGCTGAGATCCAGGTGTCACCAAGGGGCAACGGCTGCATTCAGGGGACAGAAGGAGGGAGCAGAGGCAGACGCAGACATCAACATCAGAGGCCAAAGGTAACACAGATCTATCTCAGACCACAAAGGGGACAGGCTATAGTATCAACTGCTGCTCGGGTAACAAGCAAACTCAGTTCTGGAAAAGAATGAGAGACGACCAGGTCCTTAGGACCTCGTGTTTCGGCATGGTGGAAGGAGCAGAATGCAGGGAGAGAGTTTGGGGCAACCAAGCAAGGAATAGACGAGTGCTGTGGACCCCCTGATCCTGACCTCCAGACCCTCGTGTCCCCTATACTAAGCACACCAGACCCAGAAGAGCTCCTGACCTTGACCTCCAGGCTCTTGTGACCCCTGTGCTAAACACACCATATCCAGAGCATTGAGTATTTGCTGAAGGGATCAATGGATAATGGTTTTTCAAATAGTGTGGCATCTGAAATAAATGAGGTGAAAGAGAAACCCCAGGGAGTCATAAGATCTTGTTTCATTTTCAAAACAGAAGGTTTAAGCATCCCTAAAGCAGGGAGAGAAGGCCCATGGAGAGAAATTCCCAGAACAATGTGTGGCCTAAAGAAGGAGCTCAGAAAGCATCCCCTGGCTGAATGAGTGGAAGGAGAAAGACATATGCAAGGACAGGCGTAGTCAACTCTCCAGCTCTGGAAGGTGAGTGAAATGTACAAGAAAACATTTGGAAGGCCTTATTTCAAAGTCAGCACTGGATTCTCTTTTGTGTGAAACAATGGGGGGTCCACTTACCTTAGGATCCTGTAATCATATTGCCTGTTTTATTCTATTTCTTTCCTTTCTTCTCCTGAACTTCCCCACTGGACCTTTTTCTTACTTAGAACACCAATTTGTTGGCATAATTGGTGGTTTTCCATATCTGATTCCTTCGTTTGTAATGTGGGATCTTTATTGCTTATCTGATTACAGAAACAATACAAACTTCTCAAAAATGACAGATTTTACAGATATCTAAATCAGAGAAGGAATGAATAACATAGTTCTACCACTCAGTCATAAGTATTGGTGGTTTGTTCCTGTACCCTAGACACGTAAAAGGCAAGTTAGATGCGTATTCCTGTTGGTGCAGTGGAGGGCTGGAGGTGTGGCTCCAGCCACAGAGCACCTGCCTGTCAAGCATGAAGCCTTGAGTTCAAACTCCAGTACCACCAAAAGAAAAAAAAAAGAACTTTCCATACAGTGGAAAAACTGGAGACTTCACAGGGCCTGCCCTGCTCTTCAGAAGCAATGTTCACATTAAAGAAAACAAAACACAGCAGCAGGCAAAGAGTTAAGGAGAAACCTACGGACTCCAGCCTTGTAAGACTAGGGCACAACACAGCTCTGTAGCACAACCTTGGTCAGAATCTCCCTTCGGGCCTCAGTTTATCAAGAAACAAAATGATGGCAGTAATAACTCTCAAGATAACAAGAAAACAGCTTCCATAACCTGCACAGTAAACCTCAAATAAAATGCCAGGACAGGTCAAAGCAATAATCTGCTTTGTCAGAGCTGCCAGTAATTAGTCAACACCATCACTTTCACACTTACCTCTATTTTACTTCCTCTTTCCACTTCCATTGAGCTTTAATCACAAACTGAGCAATATTGGAAAAGTTCAGTTTTTACACCAGTGTTTAAATAATAAAAGCATTTGAGCTTTGCGAAAGTACTGCCTACAAACTTATACTCATAAAATGATTAAGCACTCTTAAAAGTGAGATTTTTTTTAAAAGCGCTGTTTATAAGCCACCAACTTTTTATTTTAAATTTTTTTGGCATTGTTATAGATAGAACACAGGACCTTAGCCAATGCTAAACAGACACTCTACCACTGGGCCACACCCCCAGTCCGGCTCTGTATTTCGAAGTTCCAAATTAAAACTCTTGGTCTATGCTAAACACAACTGTGTGACTGCCAGCTTTTATGAGTACACTATAAGCACATGAAAACTTCCCAAGGCAGAACTCAGTATCCAAGGAACACGTGTCTGATGCTATGGTTTAGCAGTGTGGTCCCTGAATCAGTGGCACCCACATCGCCTGGGAACTTGTAGAAATGCAAATTCTTGAATCCCACATAGACCTACCAAGCCAGACCCTTTAAGGGCAGGCCCAGAGATCTGAGCCCTGATAAACTCTAAGGAAATGCTGACCTGCTCCAAAAGTTCAGATCCACTGATCGCTAAAGACTCACAGCAACCAACCCACAACTTATCCCTACAAAGATGACACACCAGGATGCCCTGACTGCATTACTGTGACCATCCTGACTGCTGATCAAATAAGAGCCTACAAATGAATCCCACTGTATAAGTAGGGTTTCTATCTAAGTCAGTACAGAGCTCAGCTCATAAACTCTACACGCTGTGTGTTTTGCCAAATGGTTCCAAACTTCCTGGCATACATCCAGACTTTCTTCTTTTATTCTAACCACAAAAACTTAATTCATTATTCAAGCACTTATTCCATTTGACAAATAATAAGCACTTACTATTTGCCAGGCACTTAATTAGGGGCAACCCTACAAAGTCAAGCTATATTAACCCTCGAGGGCTTTGGGATAATCCAGAGGAGTGGGTCATAAAGAAATCACTTATTCTTGACCTTAAATTTTATCTTAGCAGTGATACTTAATCCATGCCTGGGTCTTTGTACTTTCTAGGCAGATGCTCTCCCACCTACCCACTCCACTAGCCCCTTAATTTTCAATCTGTTTTAGAAAATTAGGCAGAGGCTGAAAAATCTCCAAAGAAATAATCTAAGTGCCATGATGACAGGATAGAAAGACATTGCCAAGTGACTTCATAGTGGGGTGTCAGCAAGACCTCTGTGAGTGGTGAGCTGGGATGGAAGTGATTTAGAGACACCAGGGAAATAGTCAAAAGAAGAGGAAAATATCAACACGGCCCCGAAGGAAGAAAAGGGGCTCCAGGGAGAATGGCTAGCTGAGCCTGGCTGGAGCATAATGTTCGTATCAAGAGAAAATAGATAACAAGAAAGGAATGTTACACTGGCTCCATGTAGAAGGCCTGAGGCTGATGTTCTATGAAGTCCCTTCAAATAAGCAAGCTACACTGTTAATACCAGCCATCCAGGGACCAGGAAAGCCATCGATTTCCCTTAAGACCTTTATTCAATGCTGAGTGGTCATACAATACTCGCTCCAGCCTAAGAAGGACACACAGCTAGCTCCTAGCCCAGATTGACTGGATAAGAACATAAGCAATCTATGTTCCCTATCAGCCTCTGCTACAGAACAGATCAGGGCACAAGTCCCCAACACT